ATAAATTTTAAAATTGAGTACTCAGTACTCCCTTTTTTAATGATTGTATTCATTTGGGGTTTGGAAGCTTTTTTTTCTGTACTAGAAATTTAAAATACCAATCATCTGCGGCAAATTGCTGCAGAACGGAAAACGGGAAAAAAAAAGCTGTCATGCAGTTTGCACGTGCCCGTCTGCCCGAGGTTAAACTTGAATATTTAGAAAATTCATAGAAAAGACCATAACCTAAATAGCAGCCTCCAAATTCCAGAATCGAGCTTGTTCCATTTGGGTTTTAGTCAAAAATGTACAATTTGTTTTCTGTTAAAAAACAATTAGAGGCTACATACGAAAAACACACACAAGGCCCAAGAAGGATAAAGGACAGGAGTTGAAAAATCCAGCGCTCCCAGCCTCCTACAATCCCACACTCCCACGAACCTACAGTCCTACAGGTCCTAAAGTGCCACACCGTCGGTGAATCGGCTGTTCAGCTTAGGGCCTTAGGACCTCAGGTCCACGAGGACAACGGGACCATGGGACCACGGGTCCATGGACCACGGGATCATGGGAGTCGGGACACTCCACACTCCACACTCCACACTCCGCACTCCACACTCCACACTCAACACTCCACAGTCCACACTCCACATTCTACACTCTACAGCCTACACTCTACACTACCTCTACAGTCTACACGCTTCAGTTCTACACGCTATTGTCCACTCCACGCTAAGAGTCCACTCCACGCGGCACGCCCAGAGTCCAAGAGACCTATGGTGTCCCTGAACAGTGAACACTGAACAGTCGAACACGCGGGGCACTACGAGTATGTAGTGCCCACCCGGCCCCCGGGCCACTGCCCAGTGCCCAACGCCCCTCGCCCAGGGGCCAGAGGCTACGAATCCACAATCCACTGGGCCACGTGCCCACGTCCCATGACCACGAGTTATCGCCCTATGTACGACCCTACTTAAAAAATAACAAAACGATATGATATTTTTTACTTATCATACACCCACCAGAAAAGGAGATAAAACTGTAAATGAGTATAATTAATTTATACATGTATTGGTTTTTTTATGTAAAAAATATAGAGAAGGTGTCACCAACTCACCACTTCTAAAAAATAATTCAGTGCGACCTCTCTCTAGAGCTAAAAAGTGCACCCACTACTATATTTAGCCACAAAACTTGTATAGATCAATGGACGGGAGAGTAAAGGACAAAACTTGACCCGCTTTTAAAAAAAACCCCATCTTCTCATATATACTGGACCGAACTATGGCAAAATATGCTCAACGTCCAATGCTTAACGGATAGAAATTAAACGTATGAACGTTATACGTTATATGGCTATTTTTCACTTTCACGGCTGTTCACCACTCACCAGTCACCACTCACCAGTCACCACTCACCACCCACCAGTCATCACTTATCAGTCATCACCAGTCATCACTTATCAGTCATCACCAGTCATCACTTATCAGTCATCACCAGTCGGCTAACCTCATATCGTTATAGGTTGCAACGCAAATAAATGATCCGTCAAACGTTGCAAATCAAACGGTTACGGTATATTAGTAGGGCCATATTCCAGGTCAGGCAATGCGCAATTGTGCACATACAAACATCACGACCCTCTACTCTAGAGAGAAGAAAAATAAAAATAAATATGCCTGATCTGTTGACTATTGTCCGAAGGACATATACACACCAGAATTTTGTCCTGACGACAATAGTCTCATATACTGTATCGAGACCAATTGTTTAAGAATAGGTGCACTATAAAGGTCACAATATACAGGTCATATTAAGCCAAAATACGTTGCAACGCTAAAAAATAATCCGCTAAACGTTGAAAAATCAACTTTTATATTTTTTATAAAAAAAAGAAATAATACGTGACACAATTACACCGATTGTTAAATACGAGGTGCCAGTCAGTCGACATTTTTCGAGGAACACGCACAAATAAACGTAAAAGTGCATATTACTATTTTCAACGTTTTATACACGTATTTATTATTTTAGGAAATACAAGTATATGTATATATTTAAAATTAGGAATAGTATTATATTATAAAATATGCCCTTTTTATAAAAAAATATGGCATATTTATTTCATATCTATTATTGTCCTAAAAATATATTTCGTGCATGTTTCATATTTAATATTTTTCCAAATATATATATGTTACATATTTATTATTTCTCTTGTATAATTTCATATTCATTATTTCTTCCATATTTTCACATAAATACAACCTCATATTATGTATTGACATAGCTTGCTATTTAGAATGTGTGACGATAGTTGATACTAAAAGTTAAAAACACATTGATAAACAGTCCTTGTGCATGCACAACACATATGCACAACGTAGCATAGTATTCTACAAAGTATGAACATATATATAAAGCTTGCACTTGGTTTATGTACACTAAAAAGGTAAAAGATCTATACAATAAATAAATCAAGAGATATATGACATCTAAACACGCTTTTTTGTAATGCCATTATTCAGAGCCATAGAACTCGACAGAGATCGTTTAGCAGTGAAGCAGGAAGGTGTACAGATTAAGCTGCACTTGAATACTGTGCACTGGGGTGGCATATTTGGGCATGTGGACTTATATTGTCGCTGTATATAAGTCAAATAAACTAACGATCTATGTGATCATATTTTTTTTGCCACCTTTTTTGGTTCCAAAAATCAATCAATTTTCAAATTGGTAACAATTTGCCACCTTATTTGAAAAAGGTGGTCAACATGTATCGAGCGGAAACAGGTTAAACTGCAACTGACTCTATACTACGATAGCTCTGAAATTCGTAACAGAGCTCAAGGACAATACTATTGATAGGTGTGAACAATTATTTGTATGCCTGTGAACTATGAAGTTCACAATGTCCCTTCTGGCAGGATATGTGACAAGTGTGGATTATGTCTTCTGTGACCAGAATGCGCTCAGGAGACAAAATATCGAATTGGCATGTAATGGAAAAGCGTTTTTCGGGTATCATCCGACTACACTGGTGTCAAAAAGAGTGTCCATCATGTGGGTTTGTATTTTTTGATGTTATTTCGTCCTATTTGGTATAGTCTAAATTACAGGGTCTTTCACGCATACTTGCGAAGTTATACAAGGTGTCCATGAAAACACATATATATGTACACAGACGATAATATATATATATATATATATATATATATATATACACACACACACACACACACACACACACACACACACACACACACACACACACACA